TCAAACGTCCTGTATTAGGCTTCGGAAAAGGCTCACTGTGTTTCTTCCGAGTCTCCTATTCCAGGGCTGCGACCCATAAATTCCCCGTGCTGGTTATCGTAACTGTAATACTCACAGTATATATATATATTTGGTCAGTCGCATTTTCACTCTATCAGCCAAGATTGAATTGGTACAAATTGGTTTGAAGCTTTGGTTTTTAACAATCAAGATAAGAATTGAAAGCGAAATGCATTAAAGCTCCTAGGAAGGAACTGATGTCCTTGGTAGAATCAGTCCCATTAGATCCATTTGGGAAGGCAAATTATAATTGAGGAATTAGTGAAGAGAAGAACAGCAAGTTAAGGTAATGAGTATAGATATTGCTTTGGAGTCAGGGGCTTGTGAAAGAATAATGGAAAATAAATGCTAAATTAAAATTTTAAAAAGGCTTTATTCACTTTATTCTATGCATCTTGAATTTTAAACATGCTTAAAATTCTTGGGAAAAGTTATATTTGACTTTTAAAGTTCCATTTCTTCTACCTTAAATCTTTATCATTTTTTGGTTCTCAATAAAGATTGTTCAATTCTTAGAATTGAAAGAAACTGTAGGGTGTATTTCACATGCTTATTGAAACATCGTAAGGATGAGCTTTATATTTTCTAAAAATTGAAAGCCTGTTTGTTAACATAATATCGATAGACATGATGATAAATGTATGCCAGTTATTTGATGACAGTATATATTTAAATTACTAGTGCTGTGATTTAGAAACTTTTCTTCAAAGTCTATTTTGAATCAAAGGTCAAAAGAAAGAGTCCTAACCTTGCCTGAGAGTTAGAAATATTTTATGGGGAAATGTGCAAGCACCATGACCATGACTTCATCACTGTCATTGAGAAAATCAATGACATATCATTTATCATTGTCATTGTCACTGAGAAAATCAAGTCAAACTCACCTAACAATTTATCTGACCGACTGACCAACCTTCAAGAGAATTTACCAGAGTTTAGACAAAACAGAGTCAAACTATGAGACCTTTTAGGAAAATATTTTTTAAAAAGCCTTTGTAATTTGGGGAAAAAATATTGAGCCTAGTTTTGTTAACTCTGTGTTGTTTGAGATATAGCTTTAAAATACTTCAGAAAGTTTCCAAGTAGACATTTATTGAGGGCCCTCTAATAACGCAGTGGTTAATTGCTTGGCTGTGAAAACAAAAGTTCAGTAGTTCAAAACCTACCAGTTACTCTATAGAAGAAAAACGAGTCAGTCTGCTTCCAAAAGATTTAGTCCTAGAAGTCCTAACTGTAGTTCTATGGCCTACAGATGTGATATAAATCAGAATTAACTCAATGCCTTGAGTTTGGTTTGGTTATTTTATATTGAGATAGGTTGAGTTACTTGTTTAAAGAAAATATTATGACCATGATTAACATTTTTCTTTTAAGTGAATCCCATCTAGCCCTCTTCTACAGACATGTGACGCTCACGTCTGGGTGTGCAATTTGCAATTTGCAAAGGCCAAAATTAATTTCAAATCATTAAAGGAAAACTGTGTAGTCACACAGAAGAGACAAATAAAACTAACGGTGAAAATAAAAATTGTCAATGCATTTGGGTATGTTCATTTGGCTGTAGATTTTTAGGTTTTCTGTAGACATAGTCAAATCTTCTAGAAACAATAAAAGATGCTCTTTTTTTCTTCTATAACTCAAATTAGTTATATTAACTTTTCTTTGATTAAATTGTGCTAGCTTGACTCCAATAACAATATTAAATAGAAATGGTACCAATGGATCTTATACCTAATATAAGGAAAGAAAGATAATACCAAAATAGACAACCAGAAGAGGCTCTGAAGCTAGCTCTTGGGGTCAAGCAGCTCAAGCAAAAGGAAAAAATGGTGAAAAAAAAGTTTAACTGAAAACTTTAAAGGTGTTTTTAGAGGAGAAAGTAAAATAATATAGTGAAATGCAAAATATCCTGGAGCTAGAAAATTAAAGAAGAAAATATGCACACATTTACAAGCTGGAGGGACTGAAGAACATGTCAAACCTTGAGTTCCTTTCTTGAAGGATTGGTGGAAAGAATATGCAGCTTCCCTGAATCCAAAGGAAATGGTCATCATATTACTGTTTCCGGGAGTAACAGGCTCAAGAACTGGCGGTACTGAAAGAAGCAGTCCACCTTGCACTGAAGCCCCCGGGAATTAAGGGACCACCTTTTGACATGTTTCAACAAGTGGATGCAAAGCTGGAAGCACTCACTAATCGACGCCAAGGAATTAGGAAGACAGTCACTTGACCAATTGACCAGAAGAGATCGCTAGCTATATTCCAAAGAACAAGGAACATGGTGGCATTGTGAGCTATATGTTGCCCTGCTAGCAACAAGGTCAGCAGTGTGAAACCACCCAGATGCTATGTGAGGGAAAGATGGGCATTTCCTCTTGCACAATGACTTATAGGTCCAGCAACCCACAAGGACAGTTCTATTATCCCCTGTAAAGTCATCATAAGTACAAGTGAGGTTTTTGTTTTGTTTCATCTTTAAATTTCAAAAAAAGGTGAACTAAACTGAGACAAGTTTGAAGTGGTCAATGATTTAATTTTACTCAGATCCATATTTAACCCCCAGGGACTCCAGTCAGGAACTCAAATGACATGTTGCATTGGTCAAATCTGCTTCAAAATATCTCCTAAAAGTTAAAAAAACAAAGATGTCACTCTGTGAACTAAGTTACAGGTGACTCAAGCCATAGTATTTTCAACCACCGCATATGCATGTGAAAGATTGATCAAGAGCACAAAGAAGAAGTAATGCCTCTGCATTATGACGTTGGTGAAGAATATTAAATATTTCATAGACTACTTAAAGAATGAGCAAATCTGTATTGGAAAAAGTTTGCTGCTGAGAAGTGAGAATGGAGAGACTCTTTCATGTTCTTTGAAAATGTGATCAGGAGGGACCCATTCTTAGAACAGGACATCAAGCTGGGTAAAGTAAATGTTCCACAGCAATAAAAAGATGCCTCTCAAAAGACAGACACAGGACTGCAAGTATAGGAACGATGGATTTTGATCACGGTGCAGGACTGCACGGTGATTGGCTCTACCGTATGAAGTATCACTAAGAATTGGAACCTCGCAGGTAGCACCCAAGAATCAGACACTGTTTACTTTGATTGCACATACAGTATTTTCTGTCTCTAGGGAGGAATTTAGCTTGCTAAAAGATATTGCAATGTATACAATGTAGAATTTTCAGTATTCGTTTCAAACATGGTTACTATAGAATAAAATGTCATTTTTAATTTAATATATTTAAGTCTTTAATGTTTATTTTTAAAATTGTCATTACAACACTGGATTATATATGCCCAACCTATTTTGCAATTAAGTATTATGTTTCTAGTTTCAACTTCTGCTTCAAAAAGTATGGTATTAAAAATTAATGATGAGATAGCATCTGTTTTTGATAGGTACAATATCTAAATGTAAGTTCATGGAATTTTCAAAATTTCATTTATAAATATGGAACTGATGCATTCGGTTTACATTTTGGTTTAACCAAATGTATGCAAATACTAAAAAAAAAGTTCTTTGAAATGCATATGTCAATTGTTATTACAAACCATATTTCCTCATGTTTTTATAATATCATCTATTGTAGGACATTTAAACCATTACAAGAGTATGATGATATGGTGATATAAGGAGAATGATATAATTAAGTTGGCTACTTTAATGTCATGGGAAACTACTATTATATTAGCGGTCACTTTTAGACTAAGCATGTTAATATGGTGGTAAGCTAAGGAACGTAGTTACCAGGGTTTGATTTTATACATGCACAAGTTTATTCCAAAACCAACAACAACACAATCATGTTTAAACACGTCCGTATGGTCAGTGGGTGGCTGCAGATTAGCTCTCTCACTAAATCACTTGTCTTCCTGCTTCCATTTGCACAAGGCCAATAAAGCAGTGACTAATGAGGAGATCTGCTGGACCAGATCAATTCAAGGCAGAGGCCAGGTCAGAAATCTATGAAGACTGTTGTTATTATTAATAATGTCATTTTTCTAATGGGGTGGTTGTGATATATTTTCTCAAAGGACATACATGATCGCAGAAATTTACTGGAAAGAAGTTTTAAGAAAGTTGAAACCTATACATGGGAGAAATAGCCGGGATCGTTGCACTGAAGGATAAACCATCTCCCTGACAAACCACGTGCTCATTCTTTGGGAATAGCAAGGGCTATTTCACAAATTTCTGTTGGGAAACCTGACTACATCTACCTCACAGGCGAAATCTTGCCCCTTCAGATGTTTTGCTCCCTACACTTAAAGAATATCTAAATGAACATAGTGTGAGTCTCCAAAGAAGTCGAAACTGCTCTTTTGGCTTGGTGAAACCCGAAGGGTGCAGACTTCTTTGGGAAAGGATTTGAGAGATGAAAACATCGACTTGAGAAATATGTGGACCTAGATAGAAGATAAGTTCAGAAGCAGGGCTTCAAACTTTGATATTGCTGTGTAGCACAGAGTTGTTTGACCTTGTAGCAATATTTATCCTTTTACTATTATATATAACTATTTATGTGACTTTTTCACACGTAGTAACTTGTTCTAATACCAAAACACCCCAAAGCATCAAACTGATTGTGATTCATATCCACCAACTGTAAATCTTGAAAGAAACATAGCCTCGTCTTTTTCCTGAAAATCAGCTGGTGGGTTTGAACAGCCACCTGCAATCTGCCCAATATCTAACCACAGTACCACCATGGCTCTTTTAATAACTTTTAACACTCTAATATATATTATATATATAATAAAGACAAGATATATCTATATAATTACTTAATCCAAATATATACATACTTCCGAGTTGTGTTAAAAATAACCGAAAACAGGACAGCGACAGGTTTTCCAGAACCCATTTTCGGAGTATGTCTAGGTGGATGATTGAGTACACTAATGAACACATCTTCCTTCTTTGTTTCACAGATTGGCAGCCAACAGCCATTCTCTGACACCGCAGAGCGACATGGACTCCAGTAGCTCAGAAGAATTCTATCAGGCAGTTCATCACGCAGAGCAAACCTTCAGAAAGATGGAAAGTTACCTGAAACAACAGCAGCTCTGTGACGTTATCCTCATTGTCGGAAATCGAAAGATCCCTGCACATCGGTACAGCGGTCTTCTTTATTGGGCATATGTAGTATGTGTTTAGAACTGATGTACTGGTAGGGGGACTGCAGAGTATTCAATGATTGCAGAATTGAGAATCTACATTTCAAGGGGAAGTTCAGTTTTTAAAAAATATTTTCTACTTTTCAAGGGTGATATGTTATTTTAAATAGTTACTTCTTTAATAAATGAAGGTAAATCATTAAAAAAAGCCTTATAAGTAGACATGATAACAATGGAGAAAAGTTATTTCATTTTGGCTGACTCACATTTATACTAAGTAGAAATAAATTACAATATAAATGGATGTACTTTTGCCTAAGATCTGAAAGTGAAGTAAATTTTGCACTTCTGTCAAATTTAAAGAAAAATTGCTGGTATTAAAGATACTATTTATTTCAACTTGGAAGGTCCAGGTACTTCACATTTGAATGTTAGTTTTGCTCTTATAATTATTTATTTAATGATATGTTCATATATTGATAAAATTTGTTAGGCTCAACAGCAAACACACCTAGCATCATAAAAATTCATACAAAAAAACAACATTTTGTTTTTTATGAAATTTTAAAGGACATAACATTTGATTTAATTTTATTTCTATGTGGAATATTTCAGATATTTTAGTGTGCAAGTAGCCATAAATTATCTTGAACTACTTAGCAACTAATACTAATAAAATTAAGGAAATAATGAAATAGCCACAGTATCTATATAAAAATAAAGTATTTTTAATGTTTCCATGTACCCCACTACTTTTACACTTATATGGAATTAGCTGGATAATATATGTTCACTTAGGTGTACACTATTTTAAATATGACTCTTTATACGATTGTAGAAAGATTAACATATGGAAAACGCATTGAAACTAACAGTGTGAACATTATGGTGTGGCTAAAATATTTCTAATACTGCAAATATGTAAGAAGAAAACTTTGACTATTCAATAGAGTTCATTTAGACTTTCAGCTTACAAGATAGCTATGGTGCAAAATCCTATAATTGTAAAATTCACATTTGTTTTTTCAAATACTGCCGTAACTCTTATCACCAAATTTTAAGGGAGCAGCACATGCAAATTGTCATTATTATTGAGAGAAATGTTCCATAGTGTTAATATAGTAGAAAAAATGTATTTTGTGTTTCATCTTGCTAGCATGCTGTGCTTTGAAGAATAAATTGACTTTGAATTGGTGAGAAAATTTCACGAAAAACCGTGACGCTGTTTGATGCCATAGAGTTGGGTTAGACCCATCTCACCCTTACGCACAAGAGGTCAAGACACTGTCCGGTCTCTTCACTATTGTTCTTAGCCTTGAGCCCGTTGTTTCAACCACTGCGTCAATCCATTGCATTGATGGCCTTCCTCTCGTTCACTGGCTCTATACCAAGCATGATGCCCTTCTCCAGGGTCTGCCCTCTCCTGACAACACATCTAAGTATGTAAGACAGTCTCACCATCCTTGCCTCAAAGGAGAATTCGGCCATACTTCTTCCAAGACAGGTTTCTTTTTCATTTTGGCAGTCCGTGGGACTTTCGGTATTTTCCACCAGTGCCACATTCAAATGCACCAATTCTTCTCTGGCCTTGCTTACTCAATATCCAACTTTCACATTGCTATGAGGTAATTGAAAATACCATGGCTTGGGTCACATGTACCATAGTCCTGAAAGTAACAGCCTTGGTTTTCAGAACTCCAAGAAGTCTTGTGCGGCAGATTTAACCAGTGTCGTGCATCATTTAAACCCTTGAATGGTGTTTCCTTGAGTATTGATTGTGAACCCAGCAAGACAAAATCCTTGACAAGTTCAACCTTTTCTCTATTTATCACAATGGCACCTAATAGTCCAGCTGTGAGCATTTGGGTCTTCCTTCATTGACTTGTAATCCATGCTGAAAGCTACAATCATCGATCTACATATCAGCAAGTTCTTCGAGACCTCCTCATTTCCATCGTGCAAAGTTACGTCATTTGCCTATGTCAGCTTGTTCATAAGACTTCCTCCAATCCTGTTAGGACTCTTTGTCTGTCAAGATACTCTGATTGGATTCAGAAGACAAAGAATGAGAGAAAACAGTGCTGATCTCAGACAGATCTTGGCTGAAAGCAGAGAACGCTAGAAATGGGTTTGGTTTCGTTTTATTGACTGGGCGAAGGCTTTTGCCCATGAATCATAACAAACTGTGAAGAGCCATGAGAAGAAAAGGAATTCTAGAACACTTCATTGAATTGATTTGGAATGTGTACATAGCTCAAGAGGCAGTTGAATGTAATATAACTGCTATTGTTTTACAATTGGAGCCTTCTGTTGGGTCACCATTCTTTGGCATGGGTACGAAGATGGATTTCTTACAGTCAAGGGGCTATGCAGCTGTCTTCCAAATTTCTTGGCATAGATGTCTAAATGCTTCCAGTGCTTCCTCAGCTTCTTGCAACATAGCAATTGACATTCCATCAATTCGTGGAGCCCTGTTTTTGGGTGATCGCTTTCTGTGAAGCTAGAACTTCTTTCTTCAGCACCATAGGTCCTTGAACATATGCTCCCTCCTGAAATGGGTTAATATGGATCCATTCTTTTAATGAAATGATTCCACGTATTTTATCCATCTTCTTTTGATGTTTATTACAGCATTCAATATTCTGCTCATTGGACTTTATAATATTGCAACTTGAAGTTTCAATTTTTGTTCAGGTTTTTTTTTAAGTTTATGGGATGCTAAATGTGTCTTTCCCTTTTGGTTGTCTTGCTCTAAGTCTTTGTCATGTCATTATACTATTTTGACGTTGTCATCTCCAGCTGCCCTTTTAAAGTTTCTATTTGGTTCTTTGACTTCCTCATCTCTTCCATTTTTTATACCAAACATAATAGCTACTATATGTTTAAGAGCACCAGAGCCTCTTCTTACATCCACTTTCATCATTTATTTCTTTCCTTTTTAGGGACCTTTTCCTTTCTTTATGAATGATGTTCTTGATGTCCTCCCATAACTCATCAGGTCTTCTGTCATTAGTGTTCAATGCATAAATACGTTCTTGAGATAGTCTCCAAATCTAGGTGAGATGTTTTGGCTCATATAGACTAGGTTTAAATTCTGCAGCTTTAACCTGAACTTACATATGAGCAATAAGTGGTCTGTTCCATAGTCAGCATTGGCCTGGTTTTAGCTGTGGATATTGAACTTCTTCATTGTGTCTTTATCACGGTCATCATTCAAGAAGAAAGCAAATCTGGTCATTAAATAGACAGGAAAGAAAGAAAAGATCAATATGGATGTCACAAGAGGCTTTGTAAATGTTATTAATCTAGGAGTGCTTAAAGAAAATGGAAGAAAGGATGAAGTCAAAGAACAGAATAGAAGTTCAAGGGCAGCTTGAGAAGACAAAACCAAGCATTCTCACTAGAAGACAAAGCCAAATATTATAACCTGTGCAAGGACCTAGAATTAGAAAATCAAAAGGGTAAATATACTCAGAATATCTGAAACTAAAAGAATACAAGAAAAATTCAAAATGTGATTAGAATTTTGAAAGATTCTCTAGGCAAATATTGAATGATACATGTAGTATCAAGAGAAAACAGAAAGAATATCCAGTCACTGTACCAGAAAGAACTAATCTATAGCACAGCATTTTAGGTGGTAGCATATCAGCAAGACCAATGGTGCTAAAGGACGAAGTTCAAGCTGCAGTGCATGCATTAATGGGAAAAACATCTCCAGGATTTGAGGTAATATATACTGAAATGTTTCACAAAGGTGAAGCAGCACAGGAAGCACTCACTAGGCTATGCCAGGACATTTGGAAGACAGTTACTTGGCTTCCTGCCTGGAAGAGTCCCATATTTGTGTCAATTCCAAAGAAAAGTTACCCAACGGAATGCTCAAACTATTCAGTGATATCATTGATATAGAACACAAGTAAAATTTCACCTAAGATCATCCAACAACAAAGAAAGCACTATGTTGACAGGGAATTGCCAGATGTGAAGGCTGGATTCAGAAGAGGACATGAAACAAGGGACGTGATTCCTGACGTTAGATGGATTTGGGTCAAAGTAAAGAATACCAGAACGATGGTCCCTGGTGTTTCATTGACTATGCAAAGGCATTCAACTGTGTGGACCATCATAAACTGTGGATAACACTAAAAATTTTGGGAGTTCCAGAACACTTCATTGTGCTTATTAGAGATGTGTATATCGATCAAGAGGCAGTTGTGAGAGCAGAACAAGGGAATTATGTATAGTTTCAAATAAGGAAAGCTGTACACCAGGGTTATATCTTCTCAACATATTGGATCAATTTATATGCTGAGCAAATCATCAGAAAACCTGGATTATATGAATAAGAGTATGGCTTCTAAATTAGAGGAAGGCTTATTAACAACCTGTGGTATACAATCTGCTTGCTGAAAGTGAGGAGACACAATCTGCTTGCTGAAAGTGAGGAGAAATGAAAGCACCTGCTTTTGAAGATCAAGGACTGTAGCCTTCAGTATGGAATACAACTCAACATAAGGAAGATCAAAATCCGTATAACTGGATCAATGAAGTTGTCCAGATTTTTCTCTTATCGAATCCACAATCTTAGGTAAATCTTCTGCACAAAATCTGTTTAGAATATTTAAAAGCAAGGATGTTACTCCGAGGACTAAGTGTGCCTGATACCAGCCATGGCATTTTCCATTGCATCTTGTGGTAGTTACATAATCTGGTGCATACTTGAGACTATTAAGAGTTAAGGGATGGGGTTTAACCTGTCAATCAGATCACTGCTTGATGACCTCATTTGGAGGTGCTATGGAGATAAATAGCTCGCTGAGGGTGAGACACAGACACTTTCTCCTTTGTATTCCTGATGACAAGACACATGGAATTATGCTAGTGCCACGTGGAGACCCACGCCAGTGCTAAGATGCTTATACGAGCACTGGATCCACAAGACTCTTCACCCACTGGCCTGTGATTTTCTTGCCTTCGGCATGATTGCATGGCTCTGTGAGTCTAAAGAGGAATTTATGAACTAGTATTGGACATAAGGGCTAATATTGGACTTATGGACTTATGGTGGACTAGGCTGGGGTCTTTTCTTAATGTACAGTTGCTCTTTATATAAAGCTTTCCTATATACATATGAGTGTCTATGAATTTGTTTCTCTAGTCTACCCAGACTAACCCACATCATATGCATAGTAATGCTGGACATCGAATAAGGAAGGCTGTAGAAAAATAGATGATTTGAATTGTGGTGCTGGAAAAGAATATTGAAATTACCATACACTGTTAAAAGGACAGATTGATCTGTATCAGAAGTATGGTCAAAATGCTCCTTCGAGGCAAGGATGGCAGGACTTCATCTTCCGTACTTCAGACATGTTGTCAGGAGAGACCAGCCCCTGGAGAAGGACATCATGTTTGGTAAAGTGGAGGGACAGCTAAACAGAGAAAGGTCTGCTACAAGATGGATGGACACCGTGACTGAATCAATGCATAGAAACAATTGTGAGGATGGTGAAGAACTGTGTCATGTTTCAGTCTTTTGTGCTAAAGGTTGGAGCCAGATTGATGGCCCCTAACAACATCACGTCTACGTTTTCTGGCTACACTTGTTCCAATATAGCTTTGTTCCTTATGTTGGCTGTCCATAGTATAATCACTATTTTTCAGCAACACCGTCATTGCAAGGGATCAATTCTTCCTCAGTCTTCCTTATGCATTGTCCAGCTCTTGCATACATATGAGCTGATTTAAAGCACCCCGGTTAGTTCAGGCACACATTCATATTTGCATTTGAACACTTTCAAGAAAGGCCTTTTGCAGATTATTTTCCTAACGCAATATGACAATTGATTTCTTGTCTGTGACTTCCACGGATGTTGATTGCGGGTTCAAGTACAATAAAATCCTGATAACTTTAATCTTTTGTTTCAAAGTTTATATTGTTTAAATTGTTCCACTGGTGCAATTCTTTTTCTTCATGTTTCTGTACAATTGAAGTATTTGTCTTGCAAGTTTCTTGATATAGACAAGAGTGCTTTCCACAAATACTATCCATTTGTTGAAACATCTCATTTTGTATTCTGCCAATTCCTGGAATCTTTCTTGTTGACAATGGTTTCAGTGCAGTTTACATTTAATACTTGACACCATTCATTCCTGATCATCTGCTACTTCCTGATGTGATTAAATGTTGATTGATTCTTTTTGGTATAGTCACTCATGAAAAGATCTATCATGTCATTTCCATCACTGTTTATATCACCAAGCACAAATTTCCCAGATACCGACCCATAGTCTTTTTCTAACATTCACATTACAATCACTAGTATATCAATGTGTCTAATTGCAAGTTTGACCAATTTTAGATCAAAATGAAATGAAAAAATTATATACCTCATTAATCATAAGACATACTTAGAATCATGGTATGGACAATGTTTTATTGTCACAAACTCAATCAAATAAACACTAAAATGATAGAAATATAAAAATATGTTAATATACATTCAGTAGTCCAATAACTGATAAAATTGACTCTATAACTAATTGAGAAAAATTAGACTCTAGTAAGTAGTGCTGTAAAAAATGTAGGTCAGTATCTAGATAAAAATAAGATTGAGCCCTAATGGGAAAATAATAGCTTTAAAAATATATAGGAGAAAGGTTTTTTTTGGTAAGTAAATGTAACAAAACTTCCTAGAGATGTTTTAAAAAGAAACATCCATAAGGCCATGTATAAATAAATATATTTGAGTGACTGATGGGCTGTGTCATCTGCACTCCACTGTGGTCGACATAATGTTTACATTCACTGCCTAATTAGAGCCTTGGATTCTTTCAGGCTTGTTCTGAGTTCTGTATCCGACTATTTTGCGGCCATGTTCACAAGTGATGTTTGTGAAGCCAAGCAAGAAGAGATCAAGATGGAAGGCATTGACCCCAATGCTCTCTGGGACCTCGTCCAATTTGCATATACAGGTACAGAAAATGACTTATTATAAAATCATAGTGCGTTTTATTGTGAATTTTCTTTGAATAATGTTTTTAAAGCTTTAAATAGAAATCATAATCTTAAACTTGCACTTCCATTTTGTCAATTGAAAGACTAATGAGGGAATAATAAGAATATTTTCATTTATTATTGGAATCACAAGTAATGTTTATATTTATGTATATAGTTACATATTCCCTATATACACAAAGGAAGTAAACTGAGTCATCAAAAAAAACACTTCTTAATTGAATGTATGGGCTTGGGCTAGAATTAAGGAGAATCTCTATAGCTTAAAATCTTTTACTTCCAGACTTTATTAGAATACTGGAAAATGAAATCTATACTAATTCATTTCCTTTGGAAGTCATGTGCTCAAGTAACTTTCTCCCACTCCCCTCCCACTCTCTGGGAATGTGTGATCCTATGATAAAATGTTAATAATCCATTTTACATGGACTTATAGTTGAATGTAGGTACATGTAGTTGAATAGGAAAATGACAAATTTCAAATCTTTAATTTTTCTTAACTGCTATGTCAACTTTTTCTAGTTTCTCATATTCACATATTTTTATTCATTCCACAAATATATATTGTATATCTTTCAATCTGGAAGTATTAGTTTTCACTCTGATGAATAATTAATGACTAGGCCATATCACTTGCTCACAATTCTATTGGAGAGAAAAGTTAGACAAAAGAATAAATAGACTACAAGGCAGATGTTAAATAGAAATTAGAAGGCATCAAAACCCTGTTGCTCAACACATCTGGGTTTAGATTCAATTTTGAAATCTTTTACTAGTTTTGAATATAAGAAAAGTGTTATTACTGCCTTATAAAACAAGGGGGAGCCATTATAATAAAATCCAGGAGTAGTGGAAGCAGATAGCCTGGGTTCTGAATCCATTTCCTCTAATACATTTAGAAAAGGCACGTGGTTCATACTGAACCCCCAACATGAGACGAAGATAATATGACAGAGTAGTGTCTCATTTTCAAGCAAGCAGTTACCTTGTGGAAACCTTTCTATTGTGTCAACATTTTTGCTATAGAAGAAACAAGAGGCTACATTGTAAAGATCAGTCTTTGGAACTATGCTAAAAGTAGGTTTAGCACAATGAGGCATTTACTAACATTAAGCTCATACCCAGGAACTGAAACCTCTTAGATGAGGAAAATATACCTACTCTTGGTGTTGAACCTCAAAGTAGTGATGGCTATGCAAAGACTTAAATATTTCCAGACTTCAGTAATCTCTCAATAATATTTAAATGTGGAGACAAGCTAAAAGAGTAATACTATAAAGGGAATATTGGTACTGAGTTAAAAGACCACAAACGTAATCAATTCATTATTTCCTGGAAAGTGAAGAATCATGAAAGCGCTGCATTTTAGGAATCCCTCCAGCAATGCAAAGGCTGAGAGCCAACCCTAAGCCTCAATGCCCTGGCAGCATTGAATTTCTTGTGTGCAAAAACTAGGTCAAAAGATACTCAGCTTCTTGCTGCAGGAAGTTAGAAGGTATTTCAAAGCTCCCTGCTGAATAGAATGACCCAGATTTTGGCTCTGATTTTTAGAGGGCAGGTAGGATCCAAAGTTGCCTTTCGGTTGCTCCTGCTAACTTTGACCTTTGCTCCAATGCTCACAGCTCCCTGCTGGTTGATAAATTTCTAATAGTTACTTTAGAGACATGCAGTAGACAAGAAAATTACTCCCATTACTTTGTCTTTTGTATATACACAATGTAAGGATAGTAACAATAAAAGAGATCAAATGAGCAATGATATCAAAGGAAAAGAGGCCGATATCTGTGTACCTGTCTATTTAATTAACATATCTTTCTGATTTTCCTTTCTAGAAACAAAAAATGAAAAGTTTCTAGATAAGAGGTGGGGGGAGGGGGGGAGGGGAAGAATAAGAGAGCTGAAAGACATGTAAAACATCAGCAATTTTGGACTACTTTATTATATTGGCTTTGAGAGTCCAAGAAGGGTAAACTATGTCACAAGTTGGTAGGCCAAATGTTAGCTACACAATTAAAATATCCAATGGGTCAGAGTATTTTTAAAATAATTTAAAGACATATTGGCATGAATTCAAGAAATCTTGCAAGGTTTGAAAGAATCACACAGCCAAATAAATGGAAAAATAAACAAATAAATAAATAAATAGAAACTCATTGCCATTATGTGGATTCTGATTCATAGCATCTCCATAGAACAGAGTTGAACTGCCTGTACGGCCTTCCAAGATTGTAAATCTCTTTGGGAGTATTAAGCTTCGTCTTTCTCCCAAGGAGCAGTGGCTACTTTTGAACTACTGACCTTACAGTTAACAGCCAAATGAACAGCCTAATATGGCATCAGAAATCTTTTTTTTCATTAATTTGGAAATTGAAGAAGAGAATGAATATGAGTCGTTCAGAGTTTTGATTAAGATTAGCTTCAATATTCACATGACTGATGTTATGTACTTCGTTCTTGCTCACGTCATGCTACAGGCAGACTAGAACAGTCCCATAGGGTTTCCTAGGCCATACGTTTCCATGAACAGATTTCTAAATCATTCCTCCCACAGAGTGACTGGTAGGTTTGAATCTGTTGACTTTTCAACGGACAACCAGGCACTTAACCATTGAGCCATAAAGACTCCTTCAATTGGAGAGCTGAGTATAGAAGATCAAAGGGATAAACCTAACTTGAACAGTTAAAACTTTGTCAGTTCTCCCCCACCCCCTGAGTCACACTAGCCCTGGTCTGCTTTTCAATAGTTTCTGTATTTTTGTTTTGTTTTGTCTTTTGTTTGTTCATATTTGGGTTATCTCAGAGGTGTTATGTCATTGGAGGTAATCCTCTTCAAGTTGCATTATATGTTTTTCTGGTTTTTGGTATATGAAACCCAGGATTGATGAACCTATAGCGATAGCAATTAGAATAGGGTTTTAAGTGGGGAAGAGGTACAATGGCGGTGGTAGGAGGGGGTAAAAGGGAGACTGTATCAAGGAGTCCAGGAAGGAAAAAGATGTTGGAAACTGATTGTGGTAGCAATTGTACAATACTGCTTGACTATGTAATAATGTTATATAATACTTTATTTTAAAAGAAACACTGAAAATGCTCTAGGAATATCTGTTAATATAATGGGAAATATTCAACTCTAATTTATTAATAAAAATTATAGTTATAAAAGAAAAACTCATAAAGTTTTTAATCTTTGAAATGAAGAAAGGATAATTATGTGATTTCCTTTAGTACACATATGTAACAAAGTTACTGAATGTTCTGTTTTTTTCTAGACCAGCAAACTGATGATTTTCATAAGAAAAAATGCAAATGTTTAGATAAATGGTAACAGGGCAGAGTTAACGTTAACCAAAGCATGATAGTAATAGCTTACTTGAAATAATATTTTTTATAAGAAAGGGGATATAATACTAAAAGAAAAATACTTAAAACATGTAAGATAGCACAACAATAAATAGAATAAAGGAAATCAGAAACATCTGACAACAAAATTAAAGAAAATATTTTTGCTAGTATAAAGTGCACAGATATAATACTAAAATGGCCCCTCTGGATATTGTAATAAACTTTACTAAACAAGAATGATAACATATGGAACTGTCACGTGTTATATTATCTGAAAAACAGAAAAATGAAAGTGTATACAGGTGCTAGCTAGATACAGTTGTATATCTTTGGATCAGATATCTAAAGATATTCTAGCCATAGTTTTCCATCAAATGGTTGTGTGTGACTATGAACATTGGGTGTATGCAAGTCTCACATAGAAATCGGTGAGTTTTGCCATCTACCTCAGTGTAGAAGGAACCAGCTCAGAAACAGGAACTTGGGATCTCACAACCATCAAAAAAGAATAGCATGAGGCAAGAACATCCATTGGACCGCAAGATCCCCTTTTATAATATCATTCATGGAGCCAGGGTGGAGAAAAGTTAGGAAGGACGGCTGAAGAGCAGCAGCAGGAGTTAGGGGATGACTCTTGGGTATTTATTGACTTTCCAATAGATAACTACTGATGATTATAATGTAAAAGTTATCAACAAAGAAGAAAGAACAATAGTTGGAAAATATGGCCTTGCTGACAGAAACAAAGGCTCTAGATAGCATGATTCAGTTTTATGAGACCAATGATATTTGCTGAACAAACACCCCTTTCAACAGCACAGACAGTGACAGCACATATGGACTTTTCCATAAGGAATACACAGAAATCAAAGGGATTACATCATGGGAAGAGTTGGTGCAGATGCTCAATATGAGGTTCCACAATGAGTCCATGCACCAACTGTGGAATACACTGTTATCAATGCATTTTATGTAAACTCAAGCTGATGTTGAAGAATTAAAATGAGTTGTTGACTTATTCTACAACTTATTAAAATAAGTTGTAGAGACAAACAGGTCTATCAGCATATCTCATTTGAGTATCAATACCATCTCAATAAGAGATTTGACTCATTGAGCACGAATGACAGCAAACCTGATTCGGGTGGGGTCACACATGAGCTTCAAACACGAAGCCAGCAAAGCCAGAAAAGAAAGAAGAATCAAAGGCGATGGTAGAAGAGATTCTGACTGTTGCTTTTTATCACACAATAGCTAAGCCTAATTCAAGAAATAAAAGAACGGAGCAGAAAACTTCAAAGGGCAGCTCAAGAAGACAAAGTAAATATTATAATGAAATGTGCAAAGGCCTGAAGTTAGAAAACCAAGAAGGGAGAAGACACTCTCTATATCTTAAACTGAAAGAAGAAAAGAAAAAAAGTCAAGCCTTGTGTTGTAATATCAAATTCCTGAATAAGGCAGCAAGTATCAAAGAAGATGGAAGAAATACAGAGTAACTTTATCAAAAAGCACTAGTCAACATTCTCGATCATGTGCAGTTGCCATCTGTCTGTTAATGGAAACTGGTGTGTTCTTACAATGTGGAACAAGTTGCAGAACAGTTTACTAACTATTG